TTTATTAATTAAAACTTACCATCAATGTTTATAAAAAATATTAGATTACAACATATCATTGATGTTTAAAGATCTTCTACATGATCAATTTAATAAAATTTTGAATAAATTTTGATTCATAATAAAATATCTTAAGAACAAAATGTAAACAAGTCAATTATAGCCTTATGAAAAATAAAAAATAAAAAATAGTATAATGATTATTTTTCAGGATTATTTTATTCTATATATTCATAAAATCTCAAAATTGATATATATTTATATATTTATAAATTCCCAGATGTCATTAAAATGTAAAGCATTTCAAATAACAAAAATTATATTTAGATGATCGTCAAGTTTATTTCGTATATATTGTACTGTATTTTTTTTTAATTTATATGATACAGAAGACTATATGATTTACTAGAGTTGCGGTTTGGTTGCTTTTGCATACTGAGATGACTTATGCATGGTACTTAATACTTTCATACATCATTCTCAATCATATGAAGAATTCTAAACATCAGACTTTTTCACGCTAGTCTGGATTGCCTTACTAATTCATGCTCTTGTGTTGTTGGACTTTTAAACACTTTTAGACTATTATATTGATTTGTGCTTAGTTTTTACCTGCTATTTACATCAAAACCAATACTCATAATATCTCACTTGCATGCGTTTCTTGCAAAATTAGAAACTCTAATTGATCTTCTTGTAATCTCGTCATTTTTTAACTATTATTTGAAAACTTTACGCAAGTCTTCACATTCTTCTATCTTCATTTTTCCTCAAAAGTCATCTTGCAAAACTACTCTATTGTATAACAAGATTTTGCCTTTTTTCTAATTATCAATGAAAGAGATCAAATCTATATTGGTATTTTGGTTCCGCACGGGGAGCTATTTGGCTACAGGGCTTTATACTTCTGTGATAGATTTAAAGAGTAAAATCTACATGTTGTCTTCTGCTTGCGGACCTACAAAGTGCCTAGCACCTCTACCTATCGTCTCTCACCATTCCGGACTGTCGAACGGATTCCTGTCCACTCATCTGCAACACACATGAAAAGAAATCATTATACTCCAACTACCTGTGGAGTATGATCAAATCCTGCTTAATATCGAGGAAAGAGCAAAGACTTCTGCATCTGTAAAAACCAGAGAGACAGGCGGAAAATAGTCGTTTATTGGCTGAAAACTTCTCGCGTCACGAGCCTATGTAGACAAGAATTTTGAATTCCTACGAACTTCAGTTATATTGAGCATGATGTGAAGTAAATGTCATCATGAATGATTCAGATGAAAACTCAACGAAAGCATAGAATTCGTCACACATAATTGATACTGCACTGCAGACCTGTGCGTTCAATGTTCGCTGTAATTGCACACAATAGGAGAAGAGGTGAGCTCCGTACGCAATGCCATGATATCAGATCCTGTCTGAAATGAAATCAACCGTCAAGAATTTATTTTTTCTTCTTGGAGTGTGAGTGATTTGTATTATCTCAAAGACTCCGACTTTTATTCTGCTACAGATACATTCTCCACCTGCTTAGAAATCTAAACAAATGAAACCATTGATCCAAACTTAGACTTCCACAATGCAGCGAGAAAACGACAGGAAGTCAGGATCGATGTTGGCATAGTAAATGACCTAACGAATTCAGCTTCAAGCTTCAGCGCGAAACCTTTCTGAGCACATTCTCAGGGAAACCCGGTAGAGAACACCATTCTTGTCTCCGAAACAAATCGAGTTTTCCTTGAAGTCAGGTAATGAGCAACGCTGAAGCTGGTCACTCAAGCAGCTCCAACTGTGTGTGGAGGCACAGTGGACATAATTAGACATTGATTCTGGATACTATGTCGACGAGATCAAAAAGCACGTCTGATGGGCAATATGGGAGGCTGTATTAGATCAATTTAATTTTAACATTGCTCTTCGTGGAAGGCTGGAAGAAGTTTCGATTACCTGGAAGAAGATGAAACTGTACCGTCTTTAGTTGGCTCTTCGAATTGTGGTTCAAAAGGTTGCTGAACAGTTGTCTTGATTAGCAAGTTCTCCCTTGCTCTGGCAAATGGTGTTCTCCCCAGGTCTCAAAGTTTAGATGTGAAGTCCATTTGCAGTTACAATCGACTCGATGAGTGCAATCTGTGTACTGAGCAAGGTCTCTAGATGTTTGTAATTACCCAGAGATTAAAAAGACTCAATTGGACGTGCCTTAGCCCCGTATTAATTTTTATTTGCTGACTTGAAAATTTTGACTATGCTTCGTTCGGCATGCAATTGACCTCCAATTCTGACTAGATTTGTGATTTCTATCAGCATTTAGAAATAGACTCTGTCGACTCTAACGGGACCTACAGATATACAGATCAGATCAAGGAGAAAATTGGAATCATAGAAACACGTAGTGATATCATGCTCAACTGTCTCAAACTTCTCACCTATCCTCCCCGCCGCTGTGTTCGTCGTCCAGAACGCATTAAGTGCAGCCTTACAGATGACAGTGTTCCCCTGTATGTGGACTTCAATGTTTAGTACTCCGTCGTTTCTGCAGCAAGTTCACGAGACCTTAGCCTACTTATCCAAGCTGTAAATCACGTTTCCGTCCGTATGCATTTCCAATTAGCATTCATTTGGGAGGCCTCTTGTTCCTGTATCAAGTTGTAGTTCGTCTGTGACAAAATTTTACAGTTTTGTCTTGGAGCTCATAAACTGAGAGGAGTAAGGTCGAGAGCCTTATTTCAAATAATTTCCGAAGTTGTTGTATTTCCTCCGTAACTTGGAAAGATTATAGAAGCCCCTGTTGTGCTCGATGCCGGCGATAATAAGATACTGAAAAAGGATCCGATGTGTTTGAAGTTCAATGCCAGTCCAATCTTTGATGAAAATGAGGATATATGCTGAACCTCCTCTAATTGCTCCCATTTTAAGTCGTGGCTGGCTCATAAACTATCACTTGATTAGGGATTCATACTCTACCTACATACTTGTTATTCAAGTATTTTGCCTCTTGCATAAACAATGTGATACAACTGGTGATGAAAGTAAGAAATTTGATGAGTTAGGTGATTGTATCACTCATCTACAAGAAATACTGTTTGGAATCGAATTGACTCTTCTTAGCTTGTGTCACGTAACATGCTCACTATACCATAATAAATGATTGCTTACCTGAATTTGAAGGAATGCTTTTGATCTGCCATTTCAGCACTGTGTTCTCATGATAAAGACTTTCCAACATTTGAGATTCATAACGTTATCAATTTTTGTATTGATTGAAAAAATGACTAGATAATCAAGTCTATAACTTTGTATTTAACGGAATAATCATCACTCCAAGTTTAATGTTAGCAGAATTCATCCCATTGGTATATGTAGGCATTATTCTTGTTATGATGTCCATGCCACTCTGCATCTTCATATTTTATCAAAACTTCAATATCATAATTCTACAACTTATTCTTAGGTTCTTTTAGAGAATACTCATCAAATATCAATTATTTTTTCTCTTTCTATTGTATAGATCAATATATATTTCCTTGATTAATAATCATCATTTTGATAATGATCTCTCTCAATCACAAGAATAATATCAAATTATGATTAAACGTTTACTTAAAGAATTTTTAAATTAAGCAAAATCTTCATTGTAAAAAGATTATTTGCTACTTGATATTCTCAAAATACATCGATAATTTTTATATATATATCAAAGAAAAAATTACATTAGTTCCCTAAATCCAAAAATTTTTAAGCATCACTTTTTCACGATTTTTTTCTTGAAAAGTTCATTATTTTCTAAGAAATGCATTATTTCGTTTCTTATGATATTTTACAAAATTTACTCTTGTTCTATCCTTTAGGTTTTGAGATATTTAGTTTTCATTATTCTTCATTCATATCTTTTTCTTTTTTTCTCATTTAACTTTACTTTTTTTTCCCAATTTCTTTATCAAATGTCTTGTATTTAAATTTTAAAATTTGAAAAATAAATATTTTGATTCACTTAGATAATTGTGTTTATTTTCAAAATGTGCTTTCTAGTTCTTTTTCATCAATTTTATTTTAAGTTAAAATCTTACAATTCTCAAGTCTTGAAAATTCAAAATATAGAAAAAAAGTTTAAAATACCGTATTCATATTCTTTTATTTTGAAATATTAAGCAATTACATCCGAGTATGATAGCTTCATACTCTATGTGAAGATATCAAATTGATATAGAATGTGAATATTATTTGAGATATCTTCATACTGAGACAAACAGTTAGTTGCAAAACACGGTTTTGATCTTAGACATGTTGATTTATTGGGTTCAATTTCTGAAATCAAAAGTAACTCATAAATTCTCAACTAGGATTCTTAATAAATTTTGATTTGATAACGATCAAGGTTTTGAAGTTGTGTAATCTTGTTTCAATATCTTTCAAGCGGTTTTTAACATAAAAGTCCTTACAAAATATCAAAAGTTAGTACTATCATATCTTATTTTCTCTTTTCTTTTATTCTCATTAATGACATTACTTATTTAAAGCAGATTTTACTACTTGTGGCTGACTTTTGACTCTTATAGTCTAAATACATTTTCTTGTAGAATAGAATTACCGACGAAGACCAAACTTCTAAGCGAGATGAACCTAATTGTTTGAACAATTAGTCTCTGGTGATTAAAAATATTGTAAAATTAGTACTTATTCTCAAGCTACTGGGCCTAGATGCATGTTCACATTTTATATTGAAGGGCTTGATGTGATTTTGGCCATCCTTGGGTGACTTTACGAAACTTGACTGCTACAAAGTCACACGAACTTTCAGCAAGCGCTGATCTAATTTACAACCGAAGGTAGTCTTACTCGAGGACTTTCTGAAGTAAAAGAAAGATTATGCCAATATCGAAAAAGAATTGAATATATACTTCACTTTTGTTATAATATGGAGAAAAGTCTGTTCTGCAGATCAGACGAGAGCAAGAAAGTCAAACATAGCCATGTTTTCCTATGACTCTGGCTTCACGTAGAACCGCAGCATGCATCTACCACTCACGCTGTGACCTGCAGTTGTTTGAACGACTTGTTGATGACTTAGAAAAGTCTTGAGACTTCAGATCTCGATAGGTCTTGCCTTTCGTCTCTATAAATGAGCAGGTCTGTGACTGAACTCAGCAACTTGGCAAGCAACAAGTACTCTCTTCAGAAAGAATCGCATTCTAATTCTTTCACCTGATCAATGGCCTCTCGACATGGGAGTAGTTTGCCTTCAAAATGTCTGAGCTTAAAGTTCATTCTATGCATTTGTGCTCTGACACTAAGAATTGGGTTGACTGGTGAGTATTTAACTCTTGCACCTTAATTAGCAACATCTCTGTGACATGTGAATCAGAACCATCTTATATATCCTCTGTTCGAGGTTCTAGAGATACAATGCAGAAGTATTTCTCGATTCAGCACTTCGATGACCTTGAAGCTTAAGTGTTACAATGCATTCAAAGTTTTAGCTAAATTGTTCTCAAGGTGAACGTTGATGCCAGCTACAGTTCTGATTTTCCCGTGATTGTATGGCAGACGCTTGGACAGGGATCTGTTTTGGGGAAGACGGGTCCGACATCCCGAGCAGGACCCAGGTCGTTCAGAAGTTCCGAGATCTGGGCATCACCCACGTCCGCCTCTACCACACCTACCAGGGCACACTCCAAGCGTTCTCCAACAGCGGCATTCAACTCACCGTGGGCATAACGAACGAAGATTTCGTCAATGCCTTATCAAGTGTGGGCTCTGCCAGAACCTGGGTCAACAGCAACATCGTCCCTTATGGCTCCAGTAACATCGTCGCTGTGACGGTGGGAAACGAAGTCTTCTCTTCTTCGGTGGGGGACAATGTGAAAAACGCACTGCTGCCTTCAATGCAGAATCTGAGAGAGGCGCTGAATCAGGCAGGTAAGAGTGGGATCAAGGTCACAACAGCTCACGCTTTCGACGTCGTCACGAACACCTTCCCCCCATCCAACGGCCAGTTTGTTGACACCGGAAGGATGCAGCCCTTGGTGAACTGGCTGGCCTCGGTAGGATCGGACTTCATCTGCAACATCTACCCCTACTTCACATACATATCATCCAATGGGCAAATCACGTTGCAATATGGCCGTCTTGAGTCTGGCTCCGTCACAGATTCAAACAATGGCAGGATATATACGAATCTTCTCGCACAGCAGCTGGACGCAGTTTATGCAGCTCTGGAAAGATTGGGGCAGGGAAACATGCGCGTGGTCGTTGGGGAGATCGGCTGGCCCACTTCAGGAGGCACTGCCACCGATACGAACAACGCTCGGATTCACAACCAAAACCTGGTGAACTTAGCTCGCGGAGGAACGCCACTGAAGCCCAACTTGGAAATTCAGGCTTACATATTTGCAATGTTTGACGAGAATCTGAAGCCTGCTGGCCTAGAGCGGAGCTGGGGATTGTACAATCCCAGCAACTTCCAAGCGAAGTATACCATCAATTTCGGTTAATAACACCGTATCCGACGTTCAGGACGATGTGAACAGAGTCATGTACAGCGAAGCAAATCAAGCCATTAATCATACCAACACACGCCCGCATGAGATATTAATAAAGCGAACATGCTTAGTCAATGAAGCTAACTAGCTGCATCAGATGAGATCAAGCTTAGAGATGGAAGTGAATAACAAGCTTTCAAGTGAAATAAAATCTCGAGATCATGATTGATCATCTGAAAAAGAAGCTGATTTCACGCACTCTGGTTTTGATCTGACTGCGTTACAAATGCTTGTAAAGAAATCTTCGGCCAGACTTGTTTCAGAAAACCGGAACTTGGCTCGATCCGTCTCCGGATCCCACACTTCTGCACCTTACGCATTTGATTGCCTTGTCGAGCGTATATTATCACATCTCACGGACTTACCCACAACTCACGCTGAACTCACTTTCTTCGTCCTCCATTGTGCATCAAGGAAACCAAGATTCTGGTAGACGAGCTGGTTGTCAATCTATGAGTCAGGGGCCAGCTTGGGGCAAGTTACGCTATACCTCCACCAGGTTACCATTAGCATCGGTCTGTCTTCGCATATACGGGTCTGGGATGTGTACCTCGATGAGATCAGAACCTTTTCTCTTGCGTTTTACTCAATACTGCGAATCGGAAAGTGGACAGACCTTCTTAATGTGTATCTGAATCTAAATAAGAAACCTTATCAAAAGTCAACCGAGCAACTCATGGAAGGGATAAAAAAATGCATTGTAGTGCATGCCAGGCGCAAGATGGTAAAACATGGTGATTTCAGCTAAGAGGAGCAGCATTCAAAGGAAAGGTGAGTCAGATAGAAACACCAACGTAATTCAAAACAGCCTTCTAATCTCTACAGCAGTCAACCATCTTATCACTCGATTTGTGGACTACACTCATCGTGTAACTTTAAAGTTACTCCCACCTCACCACTATTATTTCTGCTGTTGAAAGTAGGCCCACACAATTGCTTTCCACCAAAAGGCAGAAAGCGAAATACGAAATGGACCAGCAGGCAATGTACCATACTTTTATCTTAGTACTTCAATGCTGCAAATTTCAGAGGTGTCTGCACTGAAGGGAAGGGGCAAAGTTGAGAGACAGGAAAGGGGACCAGATGCAAAAAATGAAGTGATTGAAAGCCCTTCACTTAAAGAGCATTTGTGTCTCGTTCTCCTCCTCGTTGCCACTATTTTGGAATAGATTTTTGTATTGTACACGGACCGTAATGCTGTATGGAACTCTTGGAATGTGGTATATCCAATATCTGAACTTCGTATGTAACCACTCTAACATGGTACAAATCAGTTTGTTGAATTTGAAAGTGAAGAAAAGAAAACACACTTGTGAGAGCTTCTTGATGATCAAGGTATTGATTCTATATATATACATATATATATATATATATATATATATATATGACGATATTCCTGGCAACATTTTTTTGTCTCCTTGGCTGGTTTGAGAGTACCCCCATTATCATCCGGTTTGTGTCTAATGAAGATACATGTAGACTATGTCTGCAGCATCGTATGGATAAGTCTTAGAGTCGTATTCCACTCTGTACCATATGATATGTACCATACGTACCATACGATGTTCAACTACCAAGATCTTGCACGCGCGATTTTTTAAGATTTAAAACAGCTTTTTTCCTCTATAAGAGCATCTCGCTCTACTTTATACCCCTGAGTTTTGGTGACCTAGGGCTTGAACTTGAGGGACGCATAGAGAGGCAACTGGCGGGTCGAAGCCAGTGAAAGTTCTTGTGGTCACATGAAATCTGGCTGAGCTGTCATATACATTCGGATAATCTCAAATAATCTTCTCAAAGAACTCCTGTGACGCAAGCATCTGTCGGCTCCAATCTGCAAAGGTCTCAGTTGTCCCGAATTAGCACCAGAGAATCCAAGTCACCCGTCTGACCTTTGCACCTGGGGTCCGGAGCTTTTCATTTGGCAAGCTCAGACCACCTGTCTGATTTGCTCCTCCGTGGGGCCAAACGATGTTTACCCTCAGCCAATGGCCTCAAGATCTGAGCGGACGACTAGGTGGGAACCATACATGGTTCCAAGGACGATGCACAAGCTACCGTGGTTGAGCATGACCCAAACGCATGTGACACCACCCCTTTATTTACTCTCCATCAGATAATTTCCAGAGATCTAATTGAACGTGTGTAGGCAGAGAACTTGAGACAGGCTAAAACTGAGATGACTATGAGGTTGCCTATGATTATTTTCAGTCATTGAATATGTGGGAAAAATGAAAAAGTGAAAAATTAAATACGAAAACTCTGCTAGAATACTCAGCGGCATGCGCCGAATGATCTCCGTCTACGTGGAGAATGGCCTGAGCATTCTCCACATAAATGGGAGACTTTCAGCTGAAGAAGGTGAGGTTTCTTACTATTTCACTTTATGAGCGTCTACGGAGTACGGAAGCCGTAAGGACTTTTACAATCTCAACGTCCGCCTTGAGTTACCTAAGATCATAAACTGTGAAGATATTTCTTGCAGCACGTTGAGAAGACGACAGGACCATCTGGCCCTGGGGATGAGGTACTTCACGCACGATTGCATCACAAGGAGTCAAAGTCTTCGAAGCTTTCCTTGTAGTCAATGCAATGAATCAACTCTAGTCGGTGTCACAACAGATATTTCAGCTGAAAGACGGCTTTTTGTGGCATTTGCCATTTTGTGACGTTAAGGCTATAGCATCTTCGGATGTGCTAAAGTAGTTGTCAAGTTGTCAATGAGCTTGACTTTAGAAACAAACATGAAATGTTGTGATTTCCATGTCTGGAACGCTCGAGTACAAAAGTAAAGTTACAGCACGAGAGCCGAGATAGTCGCTAGAGGCTGTAAATATTATTAACATTGACATTGTATGTCGTACTTTATTCGACTCTTCTACGGACCAGATCTAGACCATAGTGGGATATTAGAAGCAGGACGCTGAAAGCATGACATTATTGATAATACAAGTTTCATTTCAAACATAACCCATTTCATTGTTCAATAAATCTAGAGACCTTCCGGGGTGCAAATAATCTACTTCGCATTCATCACAAGGGCTTGCTAATCAAGTACTATGCTGATACCAGTGCTCACAGGTTAGCATATGAAGGAGGAGTGTTACTCTCCGCTTAATCAACAAATGCGGGCCAGAGGTAAACTGGAAAAGCAGAGCATCGAATCCTCGCTATCCGCTTGGCTTCTGAAAGCAGAAAAACCATATTTAACATTACCGATCGAATCGATGAAGGTGCGGGAGCAATTTCAGATCGAAAGGAGTAATCGTTCGTGTTGTTGAAACAAAACCGAACCAAACATCCCTCATAGAGTTTTTCCGCCGTCTTCAAAGCAAAATTACCACAAGACCTTCACGGGAAACAAATCCACATACTTCCGTAACTAAAAAAAACACCTACAGTCATGGACATGAATGGATGTTGATCGAGTTGTGAGGGATAACGTCGACCTGAACGTTATCCCTCACAACGTTCAGGTCGACTGTCGCACTTCCAAGTTCAATTGAACATGGGCATTCGTGATGCCGGCGGTCAGCTTGATACGGCTGCTAGCGGTGTAGTGGAAAATTCCAGAACCACTCGGTTCTGGAATTTTGCTTTCATCCTCTCTGAAGTAGATTCCTAATTAGACATCTGCTAAGAACGCGGAAGAAATCTTTGAAGATTGGGGTGATACTTGTGGGCTTTGAATACAGCGAAATGAAGGACTCATTTGAAGCTCAGATTCTGAGTTTCAAATGAGAAGGGAGAAGGGAGATTTATGTACACTGCTCATTGCCGTTGGAATTCAGGGCCAGATTATCGTGATTTAATTTTATTTTATTTTATTTTATCTGTGACAAGCATGATTGTGATTCATTATAAAAAAAATATTCCTCCCAAACTGTGGCAGGATTTAACACGTGTGAAGAGTAATATTTCACTACTTTGACGTATATTTCATTTTTTCGGTTTATATGTAAGTTTCTATAAACTGATTGTTAACTATGCATATTGAGCATATTGTAAAGGATAGATACAATGTTGCCTTGGAAACATTTATGCAGAGATTTCCTAGATGATTTGGAATTTGGAACTACACAGGTCAAAACAAGGAGATGAGTCTAGGTCCAGTAATATAAGTAGAGTTTGTGCAAGGTTAAACTTCGATTAATCATGTTTACTCTATGTTTTCTTCATCGACGGGAACAAATTGTTAAAGCTCTTCTTGCCCAACAGAAAGATTTAAAGCTGTAATAGCTTATGTAACTTCCATCATTAAATCCCCCATCTCGTTCACTACAACACTATCAACTTTCAATGTCATTATTTTTGCCTTAACATATGCATTTTTAATAGAGTTTGGTGACATGGATTGCCAAGCTTTTTTGATATAACTTGCGACATCAAAGAAGTGAACTGCAATTCTCTATGCAATTCCAGCAACATCACGTTTCAATTTTTGTCCCTATGTTTTTAATTGAAATTTGTCTCCCCATCCAGTTCATAGAAGTTAAGAACATACTTGAGACAGAGATTTTTGAATCTTTCTTTGAAAGCTACAATTATGCCCATGTCATGATAATATTTTCAACTTGTACAATTTCCAAGAAAAAATTATATCAATCTTGTTTTTGCACCTTTGGAAAAACATTTTGTTGAACCATTTCCAGCATGTTTGAACATACATTCAAGGTTTCATTTGACTAATATATTTAGGATATTTAATACAAGCGGTTGCTTTTGGTTTACAAATCAATGTGCAAGGCATTTTATGAATTCTACAACATTCGCACAAACAATAAGAGAAATTTGATACTTGTATATTTTTTTTACCTTCATTTGGCATAAGAAGATTGTACATTGGTTTGAGGCCAAAAAAAATGTGGACTTTGTCTAAAGCTATAAGCAATATATGATCAAAACTTTTGAGTTTGATCTCTATCCGTGAAGTAGCATCTTTTACAATCCTCGGTACAATCAACGTAATCATTGCCTTGAAATCAGATTTTGGAACTAATAAACTTCATGCAATATTCTTTGCTTTGGCGATGGCAAGATATCGCGGAACAGAAAGATTGGATTAGATTCTGTTTATGTTTCAGACGCGAAGAACTTGCTTAAAAAATCCTTGACATCTTTGACATTTGAGCGGCCTTCTTACAGAACAGACAACTACATGGAGTACCTTCGCATCAACAATCATGT